CTGCATTTTGATTTTTCTCCCTTTTTTAAAGAAAACAACAGTATTTCTCTTCCTCAGCGACCACAAAGCACAAATTGTCAGCAGCGAGTCAGAGGTTTTTTATTTAAAATTTTGGTTCAGGTAATTTAGCCAGAAACACTGAGAGATTGAGAAATATTCCCAAGACAAATCACCACAGAGAAAAAAATTAGACCACCACTTAACTTTGAGAACAAACTACCGATACTGATAATGTAATCTATCTAGAACTGTTGCAGGACTCTCTCGCAGATGAATTACTTCACTTTGTATAAAATTTGACATGTTGTACAATTTTTATATTCCGTAACAAATGTATATATGACTGACTGTACTATAGATACCCGACCACGTGGGTGGTTGAATAGTCTAATTGTAGTGATAACGATTTATTTATTGACATGATGCAACTCTGGTGAGTGACATAACTAGTCTATGAAGAATGATTAAAAATATAATGCAGTCATGAACAATTGTATCTGTTTCTTATGTTAATTATTGACTCTGTGGTAAAAAAATAGAACAATTGCAGCATACTCCACACTTCTACCCCACAGCATAAATGACTCTAACCCGACCCTGAGCCTAGGGCTTAAGCCGGACTCTTAATGTAACCCTGACCATTACCCTATCCTTTGCCCTTATCCCTACTGGCCTACTGCAACCCTGTTCCTATCCCGAGTGTGAGCCATATAAACCCCATTCATACTGAAACTGATCCTAACCCTAACCCTACCTCTAACCCTTACCAAAACCCTGACCCTATAACTATGACCCTAACCACGACCCTAACCCAAACCTGAACCCTAACCCTTGCCCGTGCCCTGACCAAACCCTAAAACATTAAACTGATGCATGATGGGGATAGTTATACATTTATTCCAAAATTGTATCTCCATCTTTAAAAATGTATTCCACAAGTTGATTTTAAAGATATGTTTTTTTGTTAATGGACAAGTATGATCCCATCTCTCTTTCTCTCTCTCTTGCCTCATCTTTATACATGTATTATTCGTTATCTTTAATTTCACTGTCTTTCTCTTTAATCTCTCTCCCTCACTCCCTCGCTCTCTATCTCTCTATCTCTCACACACACACACACTCTCTCTCATTCACACACACTCCCCCCCCCCCCCCCAGGGGCGGCCGAGTGACTTTCAAAGTGGGGGGGGGGGGCCAAGAAAAAAGGGCACCTACAAAGGGAAATCTCAAAGCGAAAATTTAAAAATTTTAGACATTGGTATATAGGCCTACCCCTAAATTGTGATTACAATTATAAGGGATGATTTCAATATTTGTTTCACTTTATACACCATACAAGATTTTGCTTAAGCCTTATGCTTTGCAGTTGGGTTTGATTGTCTAAAAAAAAAAGGTTTGTGAACGAGCGAGGAAAATTTTAAGATGTGTGAGGTCGCAGCGTGAAAAATTACATCTTATAAAGAGGAAAAACCCAATCCATATGGGGTTATAAGCACATTCACATAACGGAATACTGAAATAACCTTTGATAAGTAACATAAGTATATCATCTATAGATGCGTGCAAGCGTAGCGATCGAGCTTTTGGGGAAATTGCTCTTAGCCGCTTGAAATTAGCTAGGGCGCGTTTAATGATGAGAGGAAAAGGTGACACTTATCAGGAGCATGTGTCAAACAAAGAACAAAGAGTAATTATCAGAGGTGAAAATGGGGCACTTCTTACACCCTCAAAAAGAGGCACTCACCATGGATGAAAAAAAGTCAGTCATGAGAATAGGAAATGGTCATTTGTCGACGGAAAAGTGGCCCCCATCAGATTTTGATTGTGGCATTTATACAATATTATTATATTGTTACAAGGGAAATTATCAGAGGTGTAAAGAGGCACTTATCGCATCTGAAAAGAGGCAATGACCAGGTATGAAAAAGGGCACTTATGTGAATGAAAAAGGGAGGGGCACTTTTAATAAAGGAAAACGTGCATTAGTAAAAAGAAAATGGGCACCGATCAGGTTTTAAAGGGGCATTTATCGGAGGTGAAGGGGCACCTATCTGAAGTGAAAAGGGTCATTTACCAGAGAAGGGGAAGGGGCTCTTTTTTCAAATTTATCATTAGGAAAAAGGGCACGTATTAGAAAGGAAAAAGGGCACATGTGAAAATATAAGGTGCGCTTATCAGAGTTAAAATGGGGGTAGTTATTAAAAGGGGAAGGGGCGCTTCGTACAAAGGAAAAGGGGCACTTGTCAAAGTAAAAGAGGCACGTACCTCTCCGATTTTAATAGGACAATTATCAGAGGTGAAGGGGGCCCTTATCAACAGTGAAAAGAGGCACTTCTCGTACCTAACTAGGGGCACTTACTAGAGATTAAAAAGGGCACTTATGAGAATGGAAATTGGACCCTTATTGCAAAGGAAAATGGGAACTTGTCGAAGGAAAAAGGGGCAAGTGTCCAAATAAAAGGGGCATTTATCAGAGTTGAAAAGGGAAAGGTGCACTTTACAAATTAATAGGGGCACTATTCCTATGTAAAAGGGGGCATTTTCCGGGTGCTTGAAAAAGGGGGAGCACTGTGCCTGCCCCCCGGGAGGGCCGCCTCTGCTCCCCCATCTCTCTCTCTCTTGCCCCTTTCTTCCTCCCTCTCCCCCGATGTCTACACTTCGTTTCCTATTATATAATTTTTTTCTTCATTCAGTAGTTATCATATTTAACCGAAAAGAGTGTCTACGTCTTCTATACAGAGCTGCATCAATTAGCAATTAAACAAAGGCCGAAAGCAACAACAAGTGTGCGCATGTAAAAATGACGTCTGGCTGGAATGCTCCCCAGGGAGTGGAGAATTTGCATACATTGTGTGCGGGTAAGCCTGAATCCAATGACCTGGGTAATAATATACTTATCTGTAAAGCGCTTTGTGAGGGCCTTCGGTCCTGAAATGCGCTTTATAAGAACGAGCTATTATTATAACTAGTCAGTTGGTCACAATTATGGGAATACTCGATGGTCGTTGTCCGGGTTACTATGCGTCACAACTGGGTAAAATCAGGTGATTATACTTTGTGTCTGATGATATCACAGGAAGATTTACACTAATTGCCCCCCCCCCCACAAAAAAAACCACACGAATAAGTGGGCTGTCAAAACGCATTATCGCCCCCTAAAAAGCCTCCTCCACCTAAAAAAAAAAAAAAAAAAACAGCAGTAAAGGAGTTAAATTTGGTTCAATTTTTTTTACCCAAAAGAAAATAATAAATATTAAGACCTGAATTGATTCAAATAAGAATTATATTTCATTCAAATAAAAGAAAAGTTAACAGGAATTAAATTTGCTAAACATGCCCTTCTATTTATCAAAATATATCAAAATATGCTCATCTGACCAAATGCCTAAAAGCCCTGAGCTTACGGGGGCTCCAGCGCCCCTGGACCACAACAAAGACCCTAAGGTGGGTCCCTGACTGCTCATCTAACGGTGGTGTTTATTTTTTTTAAATAGTGCTCATTACCCCCTCCCCCCCCCCCCCCCCCCCCCCCCCCCCCCCGTTGAGCCCCTTTCCTGGCCAAAAAAAAAAAAAAAAGGTAAATTCAACCCCTTTTTTCAATTAAAAAATACGGGCCCCCTCTCCCAAGCGCAAGGGAGGGGGGGGGGTGTTGATTTTTAAAAAAAGGTCAGTGCTCCTTACCCCCGGATCCACCTATTGTGGCATGGAACTTTGACAGTTGACTTTTTATGTACATGTAAGTACTAGCCGGAACACATCTTAAATTAAACGTTTATCCAAGCTATAAATAGTGTATGGAATAATACCAAGTTATTCATCGTCTACTTACAGCCAATGACGGCAACTATAAACATCAGTCAATACAATAAAAATACACAACAGAACAAAAGGCTTCTTTCATACTGAACTATTGCATACAAATATCCTTTCAAACTTCGAAAGAGCCTGAATTACTGAGTTCATATCCTGCAAACATGTTCTGTCCTTTATCATTCAAAATAGTGTATAAAGATTGACATTAATTACTTTAGAGATATGATTCACAGTCTTCATTCTTTATCTCTAATTCAAGTGACCTTGACTCTCTCAATGACAAATAAACACATGTAATTTATCATTAGGAAAAGGAATACAAATATAGATTCAACTTACAGTTTGACTTGGTTGACTAAATGCAGGGAATCGGGGCAGGCCTTAATGTCGGTCCTCAGGCTGGTGATCTTGATACTCCGTGGAACTTACGACTTGCAGCGCAAAATTCCATGTTTTTTAACTATGAAACTTCAAATTTCATTCACCTCCAACCCATAGGTCCTGCCTGTATGACTTCTGTGCAGATAGTGACACTAAACTGCTAGGTAAGGCAACCCATCCACTAAAGATATGCATCACCTGTTTGAGCTATGTAGAGTGCAGTGGAGCCTATCACTATGAACATGACTGACAATGAAAGCGGACAAAATATACAGTTCCTCAGGTACACAAAGGAACATCCCTTCACTGCTATTATTTAAAAATGTGTAGAACAGGTGTCACATGCATATTCACCTTTTTACATAATAGCAGTGAAGGGATGTTCCTTTGTCTACCTGAGGAACTGTATATTTTGTCCGCTTTCTTTGTTCGTCATATTCATAGTGCATTCAAACCAATTCTTTAATCTACATAACAATGAGCGGTTAGCATTGAGGGGAAAGGTTAAACCCTAACGTAATATGCATTGTCACATTAGCGGGTAGTAGCCTGGTGTTAACTGTCCCAGGGGAACTTGGTATTCGGGGCAGTTATATGGAGATAGTCGGCCTAGACTTTAAAAAAAATGCTTTTGTTTTTACTTTTGTTTTCACCAGAAAATCTGAGTCAAGTTCAATTTTTCAGCGCTACTATTTTCTTAAGATTCAGAAGGTTCCCCCTAAAAATTAAAAATAAATAAATAAACATATGGCAATAATGAATGACGACCCAGCACACAAAGAAGAGAAGAAAAAAAAGACTTATAATGACTTATTTTGTAATGTTTTTATTATCATTTCTTCATGGTTTTCATTATCAAATTCCATCGTAGCAGTTGACGTGACCATGTCGGGTCAATTAAATTCATTACAACAATATACAAATAGGTAATATATAGGGCCATACATGATATAGATATGATCAAAAACATAATAGATTTTAGATATGAATATAAAAAACCGGTAAACGTAAGAAAGGCAAATTTAGAATAAAAATCGAGTAAGAAAATAAAAAGTGGGAAAAATCCCTGAAAGAGACAAAGAGAGGAGAAAGGCAAATTCCCTCTAAACCTTCGGCCTTGTTCTCTCAAATTTCATCCATCTATTATTTTCAACCCCTTTCCCAAAATAAAAAGTGGAAATTAGATATGACAATAGTCATGCAGCACATTTGACTTCTGAGTACCCGCCTTGCAACTGAGCAGTGTATGACGTAAGCTTTAAACAAATGTAAAACAAACACCAAACAAAACATGAAAATGTATAAAAGACCCGACGTATACGGTACAGAGAAATATAAATAATTGTTTATACTTTTCAGTTAAGAAACATTGCATACAGTCTGGTCCAGCCAGACTTTCCTTTCCTTTAAAACAAATACTTGTTGCACACGATGCGTTAATTTCCTGATGCAACGCTGCGTCATTTTGCTGATGCAATGCTGCGTCAGAGACTTACGCGGTCTTGACACACCACATGAGAGTGATGTCATATTCAATGTAACTGCAAATGAACATTGTAAGCGTCCATTTGAATTATTAGCGTATGAGCTAATTGCCTTCACGGGCTCGCTTAGCGCATGTCAAGACGCAATTGTATCGACGCCTCGTGTGCAACCAGCGTACATCAAAGTATCTCACATTATCTCCCACTTCAATCATCTTATTTGACAATATCATACGGAGATTTAAAGTACATTTAATTACTAAACATAACAATATACAGACAGTAACGTCGCGACAATGTTTTTTTTTGTTCTTCATTAATAGTTCGTTATGATTTAACCATCGAAATATTGACAAATAGTCAGGACGTCAAGTGAGCCTTTACTCAAACGTTTTCTTAACATGATTCTTTGTACTTATCGTAACACCATTTATTAGCAATATAATGTACTTCACTGCTAGGAAAATGTTCTTCAAAAGTATTAACTCAGTGTATCCTTAATTTTGAAAGATAAATAATATGCTATGAAAGTATTGAGAAGTTCCATGAGCCAAAACCATGTAAACAGTGCGAACCCGTTTATCGTCTGGATTTTGTGCGTGTTAAATTGTTTTTCTTCTAGACATCGGCAAAATAGAAAGCAATTTATTTTAAATTCTCTTACTACGGAAAGCTGTTTGTATATCTTTTAAGCCTCGAGGCATACATTTATATAACTTCGCTTTTCATCGCCCTCTGTAGTCATTTTTGTGCGAGGAAGCATAATCATTAAAACACACACAAACCAGCGTCCCTTTAGTCGGATCCGAAACATGGCAGAGTCAAACCAAAGCATCGTGCTCTATGTCTCAAATGACATAAATATTAGTTTGAGAAAGGTGTAAACTCTCATTAGTACAGTGTAGTCCAACCAATTTTGAGAAGATAAATTCTGAATATCGCACCCATGTGTTTCGACTAGATATTTTTAAAAATCATGTCGTTCAGCGTTTGGTCATACTCGTAGAGGGCGTCGCACACGTTCAATTTCCCTGGAAGATCCAATGAAGGAAGACAAATGACTGTTCTGTCTTTCAAACTTCTGAGCACACATTTTGTTCCTGTATACCCGACGCTCATTGCAAGAAATGTTCCAACGTGTTGGGCGATAGGCAGTCCGGTGATTAAAGCTGTTACTGTTTGACAAATTACTGTTACTTGAGCTGTTTATTTGGTTGAGTTGTTTGAGGAAGAAGACCATGATTCCTTCTCAGACCATCCAGCTGGCTTCTTCAAGGGCACGTCGCGCCATGAGCTCGAATTCCTGTAGGAAGACAGAAAGCAATAGAAAGAGATGTTAAAATACAGTAGACATTGATAACGCAAGTTTCATTGAAATTACTTTCAGCAATAATATGCTCAATATATGTTGTAAAAATCAGGGGTGTCAGCTTAATCTTTAAAATATGTTGACAATTAATTACTAAACATTTAAAAAATCAGAAGTGTAGCCCTATCTTTAAAATACATTGAAAATTAATTACTTGACACTGAAATTTGAAACATTCACAATGTGGGTAACCGGAGTAATAAGAAACATATCCTCTGTGATATAATCTTGCGTTGGTTCATATAGCTCGAAGTGACAGTAGCCTCAGTTCTATAGAGATATAACCAATCTGTAGTAGACAGACTTGTTTTCATCGTGAAATCATTACCTCTCAATATTTGAAAGTATTGTAGGCATGAAAACGACAGTATTGGTTGTTGATGTTTTGTTGTTTTCAGTTTTAGAAATGTAGGTTTTATAGCGGTATATTGCCGGTTGCATCAACATCTTTTCTTTACCAAAATATTTTAAACTTCCAAACCGTTTTTCAATCATTCTTTCTGACTTGGGAAGCCAACGAGTGATGATTATCAGCTTACCTCAATATCTCTGAGAACATCCTCACTGATCTCCGTTCTGATGTGTTTCCCGGAAGGCACATTTTGATTCAACATCTCATTGTCGTTCACATTACCGTTGACATTCGTCTGAATCGTTGTCGTCGTCGTTGTAGTCGATGATTTGTTGGAATTGATATCAACCTCGTCTGCGATGCCTGAATCAAAAGACTTTGATTTATCCCTCGATCCTTGCTCCAATGTGCCTTCAAAAACTGGGAAGGACTTGGTGAATTCATCCACCAGGTTGAAGTCATGCCTGGCCACATCGGGACTGTCCATACTAGACGAGGAATCGGTGCTGCTCTCTGTGGAAATCCTCCTGGGAGGATTGTGTACAGCGTGCCGTCTGGTCATGGGTGCTAGAGCCTTAGATGCAGAAGACTTAACCGGAACAACCACCTCACTGTCCACACATTTCCTTGGGTCACAGAGGCTGCCCATGCTGTCGCTTGAGCTGATCCCAACAGAACTCGCCACCGACAGTTTCCTCTCTTCTGATTCGTCCTCCGCTTCCTCCGATATGAGATCAAACCGTGGTCTACCGCCACCAACGGCAGGCGGGGTGATGGAAGATATGCCTTTGACGATCTGCTGAAGAGCTTGTTGAGCAGCCTTCTTATGCTTCTGGAGTTTACGCTCGTGTTCTAGAATCTTGAACTCGACGTCCTTCTTGTTCTCGATGGCCTTGAGCCGTTCTTCTTGTTTAAGATTTGTCTCCTGCGATTCCTTGTTGATTTCTCCATAGCGTGTCTTCAGCTGTTCCAATTGATCTTCAAGAAGCTCTCCCTCCTCGTCTAAAGAATCTCCTGTATAAACAAAAGAATCATTGATTAATCTAGGCATATGTAAGATATTTGTATACGTTCATCCTACTGACCGAAATCGGGAGTTGTCTGAAACTCCCCCACAGAAACAAATTCGTAAATTTAAAATCCATATATACGTAGTGATGACAACTTTCAAAATTCCAAAACTTTCTTTTAACTTGTTGATCCTATTTCATTCAAACATTCACCTTGGTGTTTCCCTACATTTCTAATATTTTTCAAAGCATCTAAGGTTGGATAGTCCTTCAAATACACTAACAATAATATTATTGGATATTTTCATATCACTCTGCTACCATGCATGGTGCTCGAGGGGCTCCAATATTACACCGGATATAGCTAGGCTACCGATTTCAGTGATTGTGAGTGGTGGTTATTTTACCTGACTGCTAAGAAAGCATAAATGCTTGTTAGTAAGCAACCAGACGGCCAATGGCTTTAGGTCCTCTCCGAGGGACCTGGTAATGAGGATTAATGCCTTACCAAAGGGCACTAGGGGGTCGACTTGGTTTCGAACCTGGGTCACCGGATCACCGGATTACGAGACCACTGCTCTACCGACTGGGCTATCGCGCCTCCTCATTCAATGATTAAAAACTGGATGTAGATTAGCAAGTTGCCAAAGGATACGAGTGCCGCTCCGAGGCTCGAACCCACGACCTTCGCACCTCCTGTCAAGTGCTCAACCAATCGATAAACAACATCTCTTACTAGGAGGCCAAGAGCATTAGTTTTAAAATGGACATTGCTCATAACAAGTTGATTTTTTTCAGGGTAGGTCCAGGAATATGTCTAGAATAACATACTAAAAGTCCTCATAAATCCTCCTTGAGCGTTTTCCGCAAAACCAAGATGGTGTCCAAAACATCTCTTACCTCTAGAGTTTTTCTTGCGTTTCCTCTGCTTGCGTTGCTGGAGTAGTTTCTTCTCGACTGCGTCAATCTTGACGTCTGCAGACATCCTGCGTTGGTTGAGGATGGTGTTCATTCGAAGCATCTCCATCTCCTGGGCCTCCTTCACCCGCTCGTACTTGTCCTCGATGTACTGCTTCTTGCGCTCCATGATAGGTGAGCCGTCAGAGAGATCTGACGATGACTACAAAATGAATACATAAATAAATTGATAAATTAATGAATAAATTAATGAATAGATGAATAAACTAATGAATAGATGAATAAGTTAATGAATAGATGAATAAATTAATGAATAAATGAATAAACTAAGTAATATATGAATGATAAGTCAAAAAAATGTATGGATCCATATATTAATGAATAAATTAATTAATATATGAATGAATTAATTATATATGAATGAATAATTCAAAAAAATCGTAGATGACTAAATCAATTAATTTTAGATGAATGAATGAATATAAAAAAATAATCAATTATTCAGTCATATGAATAAATAACATTTTATCAAGTAACAAACTTCAAGGCAATAGTTTTACCAAGCCGTCTTCTTGATATGACCTATGTGGATGTTTGCTTTCTGTGAAAGGTATATTTTTCAGCGGTCAAGAACAGAATTAGTTATAGTTTGATGGTAAATACCAGCAAGTGACCAGTACTTTCTATTTTAGTCTCTGACCTCGTCTGAACTGAAGCGTGGGTAATAAACAAAGGCTATTAATCCTTTTGGCTGGACTCCCTTCTGTGTGTAGTTCCGGGACATTGCCAGAAGAAGAGTGAAGGCCTTGCGAGGATTGTTTTTCAAGATCAGTAGATCAGTAAAATCCTATAGGGACGTTTTGTGTTCCCTGGGTATATTCTGTAAAGCGTATGTTATTCAAATAAGTGCGTCCCCCTCCCAATCCTGAATATGTTTCGACGCCCCTCCCCTGTCTTTCCCCTCGCTCTACCCGAGATTGGGATTATATACTTACAGCGGATCCCTTGGTATCAACGCCGAGATGTGTCCGTTTGTCATTAGGTTCTGAATTGAGTCGTGTTATTAGTGGTGTCAACTTCTCCCCTGAAACATAAAACATAGAAATTCATTAAAAAATCAAAACAGCAGAGCAAAACGATATTGACAGGGTAACCCCCATATATAACGGCATATATTCATGTATATAGTTATAAACATGGTGTTATATATGGTTGAATTTGGTGGGGGCACACGAGGGGCAAGTCTACCCTGTCAGCATGGGCCAGATGTGCCCCGAAATTTGCAACTGTATAAACGACTGTATCGCCACGGCATACATCTATCTATATATATCTACCTAAATATATCCACCTATCTACCTAAATATATATTCTATTCAATTCAATTCAACTTTATCTCATTCAGTTAAAAAGACAACATTTCATATCACAATCAGCTATATAACATAAAATACACATTAAGAACATATTTGACAAGAACATCAAATAAACTGAATAGGTTGCAACCTGGAAGGAAACATAATCCTATTATAAAGGTTGACCCTTTTTATAATAAAAAATATGAAATATATCTATATCTACCTACCTATATCTATCTTTATATCTACCTTCCTACTTATATCATTATCTATTTATCTATCTATCCATGGACCTACTACGAGTCCATGATCTATCTATATCTGTAACTAAATATATATCTGTCTATCTATCTATCTATCTCTCTATCTCCCTACCTATCCATCTATCTATATATCTATTTGTCTGTGTATATTTCTATCTATCTACATGTATATATATATATATATATATATTCCTTCTCCAAACTTACTGTTTCCTCTATGATCTGACGTTCCCTCCATGTCTGCACGGTTGAACTTCTTACACCTCTGACCAATGGCATCCATCCACTCCGTCCTTTCCTCTCTGCTCTCACACAGTAACTGTGTTCCCGTCACCCTCTGTAAAAAAAACGTAAAAATATAATAAATAATCATATTTATTAACAATAATAATAAAAACGGTGCTTATAAAGCGCTTACCACCGAAGTCTCTAAGCGCTTTAACAAACAAAATACAATGATAAATAATTACATATTAAACATAACAAAAAAGGGCAAATAAACATAACAAAAAAGGGCAAATAAACTTACAAATTACAATACATGTAAAATATACTACCATAATTTAGCAATAGAATTCATAAAATGGCAGAATTGACAATAGCATGCATAGGTTGGTGATAAATCATATCAGTTGTATGGAGCCAGATGGGTGTGTAATCGTTTTGCTCATGATTAACGCCATTCTGTCACCAAGCAGATGGTATAGATTATACAGTCTGTTGAGAGCCGGAACGACATAAAACGCGATGGAAAAAGACACCACCATGCATGCACCACCTTTACCAATACAAAAAGCTAAGGCTATTTAAGTATGTAAAGCTTCTCGTATCATCTCCTGCTATGCGCCAACTCGACAATGACATATTAGCATATTTAGATAATCTGAATATGAGATCTATTGGCAATACAATTTCTTGAAAGTATTCGCGATGTTGTTAGTTGAATTAAACACAAAAGACATATATACGCCATTTTGGTTCTTAACAGACGATACTGAATTTCGTAGATAACAAATATTCAAGAGCACTTGGTGCGTTCTGCATTTCTGTCCGAATCAAGTGTAATTTATGACACTTGTGACGTTACCAGTAAATTCATTCAGATATGCGTTTTTAAGCGGGTTAATTACTGTATTATTCAATGCAGGATTAATACGGGTAGGTCTGAATATTTATGAGCAGGTTGTCCTAAATGTATGACTTAGTAATACATGACATTGTAGACATACACGCTGAAACTATATTGGAAAGGGAACAACGTATCTAAAAAATGAAACGACAGCAATCAAACAAATACATAAATAAGATGGCACAAAAAGAAGTTGGAAGACACTTGATGCTACGGATGGAAAGATCAAATTCTCCTCCTGAAATTGTCCTGAGGAAAAATGGTGAAGGGAAGTTGAATACTGCGAGTCTTTTTTGCTATAAAAATTGGAAACCTGGATAGTATTCAGAGAAAACCGATGAAGGTAAATGGAGAAAAATTTCCAGTTGAAAAACGACAAACGGCCAGCGGTCTGTGCGAAAATAGCAAGTTGAGATCGAGACGAAAACTTCGGCGATTATGTAGGCCCATTAATCGGCAAAGTGACATATAATCCAAATATTGTCCCACCCAGATCTTCAACAGATCACGACAGTGGACAGAACAACAGTTTGATTGGCAACATCAAAACGAGATGACAATTAACAGCGATCGTGGAATTACCGTGTTATCCAGAGTAAATACAAATACAGCTACAACGCAATCAGTTCCTGTAGGTGTGTGCTTGACGTGTAAAGCATGAAGCTACAGTGAATAACACGGCATTTGAGGAAATCAATTAAGCGCATCTTAACATAAATATGTATCTGATTTTTTTCCCCTGCTGATAATAGGCATATTCTGTCAGTTTATTGTGTGTGTTCCGTGAAGGAATGAGGCTGTTTCTATTGTATGGTCTGCACTAAGCAAATATGCACTCGGTTCAAAAGAAATATCGACATAATAGTTTCCGACCTTGCTCGCTTGCTTGCTCGCTTGCTGCGTATGCCATTCGGAGAATTTTTTAATGAAAACCACCCGTTAGGAGTTGTTTTTTTCTTCATATAAAGTTCAACACCTACGACTAAAGAAAGTACAATACTGTCATAATACTTTCAATAATAACAACCATTGTCCCTCTCAGCATGTGTTTCTCCTGTATCAATTGCTTCTGTACTTGAATAGTTGTTGCTTTAATAGCCCATTGCAATGGCGTTGCAACCATAAATATGCAAGGGCACATTCTCAATGAAAATGCAAAAATAACAAGGATAAGACGAAGAAGAAGAAGAAGAAAGAGAAAAAGATGAAGAATAAAGAGAAGAAAAAGAAGAAGAAGAAGAAGAAGAAGAAGAAGAAGAAGAAGAAGAAATAGAAGAAGAAGAAGAAGAAAGAGAAGAAGAAGAAGAAAGAGAAGAAGAAGAGAAATAGATAGATATATATAGAGAGAGAGAGAGAGAGAGAGAGAGAGAGAGAGAGAGAGAGTGAGTGAGAGAAAGATAAAGAGAGGATGGGAGAAAGAGAAGGGACATGAAAACAAGATGACATGACCGCTTTATCCGACACCCTCCCATCCTTTTGCTTTATCTACCGAGAAAAAACAGCCGCCCCCCCCCCCCCCTCTCTCTTTGACCGGACCCAACCTCTGTAAAACCGACTAGAAAACTACCTAAAGCAATGTGTAGGTGCGCCCACGTGCTGTACTCTTGCTCTCTCTTTTTTCTGAGTCTGAACTCATTCTGAATTTTCTTTTCTATTTTTCACAATGGGAAGAAGAATTATAGCATGCATGCATGCTTAAAAATAGAATTAATACATCGAACCATTTTTAAGTCAATAAAAGTGCAGGGAAACATCATAGTTTAATGTGCCAATAGCAATGTACAATTTGTGTAATCTGCTGTCTTCAGTAATGGCATTCGAGACATAAGTCAAAACGCCATTCATCGCCGAGATGCAAGGAAGTGAACAGGGGTGTCACTCTAGGGACAGTGGGGGAGTTTGGCCCCATGATTATTTCAGAATTTCCAATGCGTTTGCACCTAACCCCACCCCCTGATCATTTTCTTCTTCAAATGACACTGAACATAAATTGTGTCAGTATTAGAGTAATGGAAAGTGACAACAACACCATTCCTAAAATCAATTTGAAAGTGGCTTTACTCGTCCTTTGTTTGCGTTACGTCTGCTTCGAAAACTCACATAGATTATCTTTATTGTTCAATGCTTAAAATGAAACATAATTATATCACCCGATATGTGGTTTATCTTGTTTATCTACACACCCTTAATAGCTCTTTCAATATTTGCATTGTATTCCAATTTCCAAAACTCTGTTTATTGAAGTCAAGTCGCCAAGGGTATGATAATGTTATATCGATGTATTGAAAATGGTCATTAACAATACCAATTCTTTGTAAACTCTTGCTTCTGTCTGATAACACTAGACAGTAACGACCTTGTACATGGTATTTTGATGAAGAGGAATCGCGTTTTTATGCGGTAACTGCATGTTATTAGATAACTTGTCATTCAGTGTTTTTTTTAAAATTATACTGCCCTTGATGAGGGCGTGCTTTGGTGGTATAATAGTGTCAACAATCAAGTTATTCCTTTGCATGATTGATTTCATGGTATGTACATGTATTTATTTGTTTATTTATTTATTTCTGATATTTAGACAGGGTGAATCATTATCACCAATAATGGTGGCCTTCCATGATGCCCTGTTCAACATAATGAGGAATATAGTTTAAGAAAATTATAATAATAATAATAATAACAAAATCATGAACATTAAACTCATAACAGCAACAAAGAATAAGTAAGAACATGTATATACATATATACAGAGTATTTGGTATCCTCGGAATGAATGAATGGTTTGTTTTGTTTTGCTCTGCTTTTTCGTTCAAGAAAACGTTGTTGCATGTATATAATATCTTGATATATGCTCATATACTCTCAAGATAAACTTGAGTTCTCGTAAATATAGAAAGTAAATTCCCACATAATCTAACGAAAGTTATACTGAATGTTCAATATTACAAATAAATGACATGCAGCAAACAATTTTGGTGGAAAATATATAGTGGCTGAAAAATGAGCATAGACAGTAAAGGAAAACCGGGTAGGTAGGCCCGACATCAACCATGAGCTAACACAGGTCACTATGAACAAATGGGAGTTGTGGTTTTATCGAAGATGATGCCCAGTAAGTTTTTGTGAGGTTGTTTTTATTTCATTGGTTCAGACAACCATTCTACTGCAGGATAAACGATCCAGAATAAAACATTGCAATTTTCTCTCAAAATACGATTCCCATACCAGGGCTTAAGATTAGCTTTGACAAAGAGTTAACACCCTTCTTACAAATGATATTACACTGTATAACCTATTTTAGACATATACACTGTAGCATGCAGCTGAACTTTAGATAGTTAAACAGTGAGTCATTAATGACCTGTCGTAACATTATATGTCATATATTTTATATTATGTACATAGTGTCCATTGAGAAAGCACTGGTGTCGGGAAGGGGGTCTTACTAGATGCATGGAATACCACAAGACGAGGCCTTCGAGTGGGGTGAGGGTGTGGACGAGGGTGCAATCATCTTCTTTTTACGCTGCCCCGCCCCTTTCCTTTCGTTTCTTCATTCATTCCTTCCTTCTTCTTTTTTTAATCTTTTTCTATCTTTTTCTTTCTTTCTTTTTCTTTCTATCTTTCTTTTATCTAAATTTTTCTTCTCTCCCCTCTCTCGTTAGTTATCTGATGAAGGGGGGGGGGGCGTGCCCCATGCCCACTTTAGCTACGCCACTGTCTACACCTCACTGGAATGCAAACCATCCGCACGATGATAACTAATCTTAAATCAATTAATTCAACTCACCGGGTGGTACATCTGGAAGGCAAACTTGCTCCCCGTCTTCGATGACGACCCGGAGGGCGACACAACGATTTCGACGTCGTACTCCTCTAGCATGAGCATATCCAGAGTGTGGGAGTCGGTAGGCTTACGGTAGATATACAGACGATCCTCGGTCAATAATGACCAACACCTGAGCGGGAACAGACCAAGAGACAAAAAATGAAGACAAAAAATGAAAATGAAAGGGAAGGAAGTTTAGTTGACTAAGATCTGAAGTGGTTTGGCAACCGGACAACATTGGCTGGGTGAAGGTGCGACCGGTTGTCCGGTCTTGCTAAGATATGACGTCATCAACGAACAATCACGACTTATCTAATGCTTTTCTGATTTTTTCCATAATGGCAATTGTTTAAATCAAATTCACAAATCTAAGTTTTGCCTTTGTAACAAAAAAAACACTTTCGTTTAACATTTTGGATGGAAATATGAAGCAACACAAAATATCGTTTTCTACTATGTATTTACTATAATCATATTATAGTAAACATATTTCTCCATCTTCGTTATGAATAGAGTTTGTAGTTGGGAAGGACAACTTTGGTAAAATGAACTAGATAGTGAGCTCAAAATAGATTGATAATAATAAAAATCAATATTTCCATTTATTGCTCGGCACAGATAAAATCATCTGTCTGAAACATAATTAAAATCGATAGTCCTAGGCTTACTATTGCTGAGAAAAGACGATGATAGATTTATAAAAATAAAAAAAATAAAAATAATAATATTAATAATATTGTACGTAAAAAAGGATGATTAGATGTGATTCTTTAGAGCTGTAATTTCCTCTCTCTAAAATAGCTATCATTATCAAGCCAAATATCAAGATTTGTAAATTTTTGAGAGAGTACATTTGATAATGTTTGACATACATATGATATATCAACGAATTATTTCCTTGGTTGTATGTCTAGGATTAAATACTACAAGGTGATAATTAAATGATTTTAAATTTTAGAAAATTGAACCTCTTTCCTTTAATATTAAAAAACTGTTAAAAATATTTTGTTTTAAGTTTCTTTTATTTCACATGAAAAAAACAATACATTGATAAAACATATTAATATTAATATTAATATTAATAAAATTAATATTCATGAACAATAAAGACATCTGCACAGCATACGTTTGTATTGCATTTACACTAGAATGCACTTGAATGCAACCATGACGATTTCCTTGTGATTTTTGGCAGTTAAGTAAAGGTACAAGCTGTTAAAAATATTAAGGCTATATCGGGACAACCCCTTTTATACTTGAACAAATAAGGAGAGTGAACTTCCTTGATTTTCTCTCTGACATTGCTTCGTGTTACCATAATAACAAAGTAAGGTTACACTTTTCTTGTCTCGTTCTTCTCGATAGTATATTTTGATGGTCATTTTATAGGAAGGTATGACGTTTGGATAAGATCTACGCAATACGGAAACTACACAAGGATATACTCAAAGTTGAGGGACCTCCGTTGGCAGCTGTGCATCTCTGTACACGTACTGAAGTTATTGGGGCGTATCCATAAATTGGATACGCCATAATTGAAGGGGAGGGGGTGGTGAAACCTTTCAAATGGGGGAGGGGCGGAAGATATATATCTTGGCAGTCCCACATGGCATAGACTTAAGCCGTTCTGTAATTAGTACCTCTTCTAGCTAGCGCACAACGATCCAACAATCACGTTTTTATAAATAAATATTTGTTTGGGGGGGGGGGGGGCAAATGTCTACCGACTAAACAGAAGAAAAAAATAGATAGGGAATTTACATTAGAATAAACAAAAAATACATTTTAGAAGAAACATTTTTGGTTAAGATAATTCACTGTTCGTCATAAAGTTTAATGTTTAAGTAGAATACAAACGATTTGTAAAGCCTGTACTAGTTACATTTACTTATGCTATGGATGGAGACTTATTCATGCTTTTTATATCGATCTATAGCATTCATGGAAATGAAAATATAGTCAAAAGTCATCCAGAGGATACATTCTGTTATTAAAGGCCTTATACAAACGCCTCTATTGAAAGCATTGTGATGAGGAGCTTCTTTTCTCCAAACGCGTGAATATATTGATGTTATTGCAACGTGCCAAACTCAGACAAAAGACTTCTCCGACAATTATGTGACACGGCAATAACATATCAATGACATTTCTCCAGGTCGCAAGGCCGCCATTTTCTTTACCCAAGATGTCGGATTGATTTTAATTGAATAAGAAGGGAATGTGGGTTTGTGGATAAATGTTGTTTGGAACACATACGGGTACTGGCCAACCCCGGTGTCACCCCGATCTATTGTGACATCATGACAATGGTTGTTTTTATCAAATGCCAAGGGAGGGTGATTGAGGGACTATTACCTTGATGTGAACATAATCACAGTTCGATTGAAGTGTCTGTATTGATTTATCTGGTGAATCACTTTGAATGATTTATTTGATCTATAAAGCCACGAGATCACATGATGTTTATGAGAGAGAGAGACAGCAGTACAATAAATTATTCAGATGTTTATGGTACAACATCTCTGTACATAATGATCTCGATAGCTGTAACATGTTATGTCTAAAGCTATCAATCCTACCCTCTCAAGAATATACCGCCTAAATGCAATTACTTCATGTCAGAGCTTTTGGAAGTCTCGCTAAAAATGTCTCAATACAAGATTTATCCAAATATAATTATTATGCCGTTGGCTAAGCTGTGCTGAGTAATCGTTCTTGGGTCAATTAGATATTCATCAAATGTTCAAAGTGCTCCTCTATGAGAACATGCTTTTGTAAGTAGGCACAACGATGAAGATGAAAAATTCTCCCCTCCCTCATAAAAACACTTACACACACACTCGACCGTAAGGGATGTCCCTTAATATATATATACTGTATAGATATCTCTTCAGGCATATTTGCAAAGCTGCGATGAAAATGAAAGTCTGGGTAATTCTCAGCATGGTCTTATTTAACATCAACAACCCTGCAATTTATTATTGACTCAATATTAAAAGGCAGACATTTTTATACAGCTCCGTCAAAAGGGAACTTATTATGTGGGTTTTACAAAAATATATTGTCCAAAGCTGTGAGCATCAATCACGGATCGAACCCAGGACCTCTTGTATGAGATTCAAGAACCTCCATTAATGTAATGCTCACAGTGTAATGCGTCAGGCACACGAGGCGTTATTTTGATTGCGTTATTACCCTGCGCTAATCCAGCCTGTGAATGCAGTTAACCCCATACGCTAGTCATTTATGTCAATACGTATATCTTGTAATCATTTTTGGACAATGTTACCCTCATGTGGTGCGTCAAAGATTGACGCCATTCGCTGACGCAGTCCTACGCCATGCAAATAACGCCTCGTGTTCAACGAACATAATGGGTGATCCATTACCTTTTCCACGAGCCGCTTTTCTTGACCTCCAGGTAGCCGGTCTTGATCCGGTCGCCCACCTCACTGGCCGGAATGGGTACCGTCCTCTTGTGCCGCTTGGTCTTGGGCGTGGCCCTACCAAGTCCCAGTGGGGAGGTTTTTCCCGTCATCAGGGGGTTGCGATTCACTGACGTCATCCCGATGTCATCCATGGAACGACTGACTGCTCGGTCTCCTAGGTTACTCTGTGATGCAAGAGAGAGAGGAAAAGAAAAAGAGGAAAAGGTTAACAAAGATTTTTGTTTTAACGTAATCTGATAAAATCAACAAGCACAACGACGACGACGATGATAATGATGACGGTAACGATGACGATGATGGTAATGATGGTGATTACGGTAATGGCGATGATGATGATGACAATGATAGTGTGATGATGATGATGATGATGATGATGATGATGATGATAATAATCGCGGACACAGTCTACCTTTCGATAATGTCGTTATGCTTGGATTCCTCGGACAAAGTTTCGAATCATAAAGAGAAACTATTAATGAAGCAAAAACATATTAGATAAGGCTCAGATAAACTAGTAGAATTTAAAAATCTTAGTTCATCCCCTGGAGAACAATAAAACAACACAACGTCATTACCGTCTGTTCAAATAAACAATATCGAGTCCAATTCAAAATTAAATAATCTTCGCCAAACCTTGCATAACGATAATTCAAAACCATCTAGAACAATAACCGATTCCATACGGTAAAAACGGAAGGAGCTGCAAAAAGTTATAATCGTACGGCGACGCTTCAGATATGTATAAAAAGACTGTAATTGAGCAACATGGGGCAAATGGTTTTGTTGTACTGTAATGCAGTGTAGGACTGAATAAATTTTACAGAAGGAAAAAAATGCCTTTATGACTTTTGACTTTGACTGCTCTAAAGGTTGAGGTACGTGACCTTCTGACCTCATTTCGCCTATCACGTGACTTGCTTTGTTGAACGACGATTGAATTAGGGATAAAGTCCACAATAAATGGCAAAAATACTTTCAAAGGTTGGGGATTTATGGTCCTCGTTATGTTGCTTAAACGAGCGCACCTCGGCAGGTAATTGGACAAGACGTATGAAATCCCGGGTTTATAGAGACGAAAACAACAGCTATGGACTAAAGAAATATGCAGTGATGGCATGGAGGGGGTGGAGGGGTGAAGGGGCAGAGGTGGAGTAGGGGATAGGGGCAAGGGGTCATTTGCCCCTCCCCAACATAAGACTTTGCCCTCCTCAGTCAGTACATCTGCCCTCAGATGAACCCCAAATTCAAGACACAAACGAAGCTTTAGGGGGGAGTATTTGCCCTCCTCACTTAATGCATGTGTCCCCCGATGACCCCAGTCAACGCCCATACACAGCCGCATATCCCCCAAACACTTCTTTCTTTCTCAGCTCACCGCCTCTCCGACCACTATCAAAAACCTAAAAATACAATTGACACTGAGTCTGAATATCTAAACAGATATCATAACACGTGGGTTTGTGATGTTTGCGTTTCAAAGGTGATCGCTTTTCCGTTCGTCGACAGATCTCTAGGTGCAATCATAAAGTGATTATAGTCATGAGCAATTAATGGCTGAAAAAATGATTGAAATCATGTGAATAAACTAACATACAAAATGAATAAATAAATGAATAAATAGATATTTAAAGAAATGATAGATAAATAAATTTAAAAATGAATAGATCAATAAAGAAATAAATGAATAAATAAATAAATGAATAAATAAATAAATAAAATAAAATAACAAATGAATAAACGAATAAATAAATCCCCCAAAAAATAATACCGCTATTATACAGCATGCATTAACAAAAAGAATGTCTGTCAGGCTTACAATATTTCTCTTAATCAAGAGGAAATCCAACATGATGATTAAAGCCAATTGATAACTCCTTTAAAAATATTCACATTCACAAGTATCCAAGAATTTCACAAAGTCTAAAAGATATCGGAAAAGAAACAAGATGGTGAAGACAGGCGGTTCCCAAGTCTCTTGTCTCTCCGCAGTAATCCTTAATATCGCTATGATATAGATTCCGATGTGAGATTCCAGAGAGCTAATGAATGAATAATATCTTTGAGGGCTGTTAATATAGTGTGTTGGTTTTAGCAACGACGTGACAAGCCGTTTGTCAAGAAGGTTAAAAGGGTGAACAACACAGCCGCGGTGTCAAGGTTTGACAGCCTGTTCCGCTATGTCGGAATTTATCAGCGCAATGGCGATTCCTAAACTCACATAGACAGGTCTAATCTATCTATACCAACCCATCCAGCCTTCGAAAGCGGGGAACGTTTCTTGGAACGAAGAGCCTGCCAAGCCTTACGTAAGAGGGATGTCAAAATATGATTGGCATTAAAATATGAGAGGATAAGCACGTCGTCACTGATGGAAGACGTCACTCAGTACAGGCAGAAATGCTGTTCATCTACGTAATGTCCACTGGGGAGTGTCTAGTTTACCATCACCATGGAAATAGTTTCGTATCTGCCTGGTTTCACAATTAATGGTCAGTTAAAGGTCATAATTGTGTATTATTTGGTCATGATACAACCGTTGCCAAGCAAAATATACTAAATAATCGATATTCCATCGAATCATCAACGAGGAAATACATGCAGCATAGTTAGTTTTCCTTGTTGAAAGGGAAGACACAAACATTGCCAAAGACATGATGACGTATGCTATCCAGAAAGCATTACTCATTTCATAAGACTAAAAACGTCTTGTTATCTTATTCCAAATCAATTACATATATATCAAAATAATGTACTTTATCTCGCTTTTCGGATTTCGCCTTTTTTCAAAATAGGAGAGCCTTCATTGAGAATTTTTTATTTTTCCTAAACAATCCTAAGACACTGGTTTCGTTTTGTTATCATTATGCTCTCATATGACATAGTATAGTAGTCAGGAAGTGTTGCTGCAGTCACGTTAAGTACTTGGAAACTGTTACTAACTCACTAACTAACCATATAAATAACTAACTAACTAAATATTAAGATAGGAACTTCGCTAGAGGGCCGGGGTCTGACATCTCCCTCTTCAAGGCTACTCTCGAAAAATGCGTAATGATATCAGCAACGTTAAAGCTATTTTAGTCTCGTCAGAAAATAAAATCAAAATCTGTTAATATCCTCCTCCTTTAGAAGGGGTGGGGGGCGCTTTTTAGAATTTTGTCTGAGGCCTATTTTTAAATTTCAAAATATGAGGGTGCATTTCTAGCTTCCTTTTCGAGCTGATTGGGTTGTATGGGGATGGGGGGGGGGGTTGCTGAAAAAGTTCGGCCTCCCCCCCCCCCCCCTCATTCCAAATGATCTACCGTCGCCCCTGATTAAAGCCATGGTGCTGAAGAAAGGGGTGGGATGGGTGCCGTTTGGTGGCATCGGGTGGTGGTGGGGGTGGGTGAACATCACACCAAGCACTCAGAAAGCCAACATGAATACCAGCTACAGGAGCAAGAATATGAAGAATAAGAAGTTCTAGTGTACTACATCAATCACCGACAGTCAATGTACCGCGACCCCTTGGCTTCGCACAACCAAGCTATAGTATCCTGTTACTTAGGTGCCGTCAAATGCCATATACATCATCCAAACTTCCTCACTAACATTCGGGTACCAACACATATTTCCAAGAGGGCAACACCTCCGATCTCTCCTCTCCGTCTCAGATATACACCTTGTCATTTTTGATTGACCAATGGGCCTATCCTATTATAGCCTTCGAAATACTACAAGAAATTCGACAGAAGCGCCCCGGACGCGTTCCAAGATTTTTCAGAGGTCCTTAGCTTAGATCTAATCTTCGCTGATACCCCCTTGTCGCTTTTGATCGAGCTACAGGCCTCTCTGCTCACATCCTTCCATATTTTTCGAAGGGAAATACAATTTTTATTACGACATAGAATTTGCTAACACTAGCAAGACAAACGCCATTTGTGTCGAAAATGCTTTCAAAATGTAATTCCAGCACGCCAAAAAGCAATATATATTTTTGTATAGACAATCTCGCCATCTGCATTCAACAGTGGGGTAGCTAGTAGCACGGCATGCCTGAGGGTAGCTACTTATGAATTGCTTTGGGAATAACAGATACCAAAGAAATGTAAAAATGTCCCCTCACTATACCTTTGGCATTTTTGTTTAAAACTATTTCTAAACCCTTTTATATTTTTCAAAGAAAGGGACATATTGCTGGGTTTTTGCCTTCCAAGTGATTAAAAAGTGAACTAAAGTAAACTACTCATTACACAGGGGTTGGTACATCACACGGGTGAAAGAGAAAAAATAGGAGGAGAAAGAGGGGGTGGGGAGAGAGAATGAGAGAGAGAGAGAGAGAGAGAAAGAGAGAGATGGGGGGAGAGAGGGGGAGAGAGGGGGAGTGGGGGGGGGGGAGGGGAAGGAAAGGGATAGGGGAAGGGGACGTTAAAAAGGAGATGATATATAGTCATGTAGTATCCCTCTTACACCCTCTCCCATATTGGTGGACTGTTCCCCCCTCACATTTCGTCACCTTGATGCCAGTGTTCCCCCCCCCCCCCATGATGAGGCCCATGCTACTCCACTTCGTTGAGGTGTCGTGGTAAAGAGATTGTTTCACTTGACAAGGGTTCTCAACGCGGTACTAAACGCACTATGGCAAGACACTAATCCACATTTGCCTCTCTCCACCCAGGTGTCAATGGGTTTCTGGCAATCGTTGGGAGTAATAACAATTACAGTAATTACAGCAGGAACCTCAGAAAGAACAAAACTAAAGCTGATGAGACTATCCTGCATGTATGAACAGAATAAGTATAAAAACAGAATTATTATTAGATGCTGCTTGTAAGTGTCGGCTTGCATGGTGATGTAGATATACAGACGACGGACGACGGATAGTCAACCTGTTCGAAATGTCGAGCCACTCATCCTCTCCACGCGCTATAGTTCTCCATAGAACTATAAGCTAAGAAAGATAACAAACAGTCCTTTTCAGGACTACACACACCCCCAAGAAAGATTACCGAGTCAGAGTCCTTTCCAGGACTCCTCAACCCTCTCTCTCTCTCTCTCTCTCTCTCTCTCTCTCTCTCTCTCTCTCTCTCTCTCTCTCTCTCACATGGTGTACCCGCAAGCCTACTGAATAGAATTATTATTATCATAAACTCCATCATTTAATATAGGCATATCAAAAAGGCAT